CCACAAGCATGAGTGGAAAATAGACACTCAACAGTATTCCTTGTTCCACAAGCATGAGTGGAAAATAGACACTCAACAGTATTCCTTGTTCCACAAGCATGAGTGGAAAATAGACACTCAACAGTATTCCTTGTTCCACAAGCATGAGAATGATAATGAATTTACATGTACATGTACATGTATCTTCAAGCAAACTTGACACAGTAAAGATGTTACAGAGACCTATGCACAGCTTGCACACAAATGCGCCGTCAGTTAATGTTCCAGATCTGCATTTGTTTTAGCGTCAAAATAGCATAATGTGTTTAGTTTCATTGTAACGGTAGAATAATGCATTATGTGGGGTTTGATATGAATTGTGCCATAGTACATATAGTTACACATACGTGTACCACTATGGTACATGTACCAGTACATGTGTATCGCAATGTTTGTTGCCATGGATCGACCAATCAAATTTGAGAATTCAAGTTTGCTTGAAGATAAATGTACATGTAGCTTGGAAATACACATCCATGTACTCATTGGTTCACTGTGAACTCATTTTTGCTTCAATTTTTTGAATGATTACATGTTTCTCTAGACATGCTCAAGCTTTTACCGGTATATGTTCATACATTGTACACTTTACATGTACATGTTATTCGTTTATTTAAATATGGACTAAATTTTGCTACCAGTATAAAAAAAACTTGGTCTACTATGGTCTGCTTGAAGAGCTTGTACTGTGCTACAGTCAAAAGTTTACTTTAGATTTTCCCCTTTACCCGATGCAGTGTAGAGTACCGGTACTATTGTGTGGAGGCAGAGTTGTACATGTACTGGTATGCACCGGTACAGTGTACATGTACATTCTACATACCGGTATGTACATGTACATTACATGTACTGGCAGCGGTATACAAATACATTTACATGTACATGTATACAAGTACCAGGACATACCGGTACATATGTGTACAAACAATGTATACATGTACACATGTACATTGTAGGTACTGGTACACATACATTTACATGTACACTGTATACACGTACATGTACATTTACATGTACACTTTATACAGTACATGTACATGTAAACGTGTGTACATGTACATGTACATGTATCCAGTTCGTAAGTGTGACGTCACTTCAGTTTAAACCACACCCAATGCACACTTATGCATTGCACATGGAGTTACCCGAGGTTAACGCGCAACTTTAGCGATTGTCCAATGGGAGGCCACAAATCATGGCGCGTCCGCCTTTGTGACGAAGTCCCTTACGAACCGGATACACATGTACAGATACATGTATGCGGTACACGTACACATACTGTAGAGTTTGTACATGTAATACAAGGATTTCATTAGTATTCCTTTTTTATGTACCGATATGTACATGTACCGTACATGTATGAACCACATTCACATGTACAGTACGTGTACATGTACATGTAGTCTGATGGATTCTAGGCTGAAATGGTTTTGCAGAATATTAGCAGGAAAAATCATGATCATGCCACATTTGTTTCATGTTGTTTGTCACTTAACCCAAACAGTTCTCAATCCTCCAATCTCAAAAATCAAAATGATTTTACATTCACCTTGGGGGTTAGGGTTTTAAAAATTATTACTACACTGTACCGTAAATGCTTCTACAAGTTCCCAATTCCTAAAGGCGGTATGAGTAACATTGTCATCTGCAGTGAACACTGGTCCAAAAGTTCGTTCTAAGTGTGCTGTTAGGTTCATCAGTTTAAACATTGTCATTGTTAATGTAGACAGGCTTTTCATTATTTCAAAAAAAAATTGAAAGTCTGCGCTGCCACTTTAGTAAGAATGATATACTTGTTTGTTTACCATGAATCACCAGGCTAGTGATGCAACTAAGGCAGTAGCTGATGCAGCTGGAGCTGGTGATAAAAATCTTGAGAGGAAACGGCAGGATGCAGATGCTCTTTTGCAAGAGCTGGGCTTGCCTCAATCTAGTGAGTGACCATGCTTATTATTCCAGTAGAGTTTTACATGTACATGTACTAGTTACACCCATCAACCTTGAGATTCTCTTTGTGGTATGAAGATTGGTTCTCTGCACAGCTTTTTATCTTCAATTTTAGTTGCAGTTTGGAGATACACTGTACATGTACAGACAATGTACAGTACATGGGTACCTACATGTACTTGTTATTGTCCAATCAATTACAAACAGAGTTGTTATGGTAGGAAAATTTATTGGCTTAATGGTCAAAGCCACCTCCAGTGGTGGAACTACTTTTCATTAAAATTGAAAGTATTTGATGCTCTTTTACAAATGCAGATGTTATTATTGCACAATTAGTTTGCCCTAGGTGGGGTCAGGTTGGCAAGGTACATGTACATGTAGTTCTTTCTTTGCCTTCCACCTCTGTGGTCCCGGGTTCGATTCCCAGCCCAGTCCACGTGTGGATTGGGTTTTCAATTCCTACCTCACTCTGTGGGTTTTACCCAGAATATTCAGTGGGGCGTTTTCCTCCCACCTCTAAAACTGTAACTGCTTCTTACTGTCTCCCCTTTACTGATGTTGGTGAATGTGGGTTGTTTGACGGCTGCCCGAGGCACCCTTGTACACAAACATGTCTTCATTGTACAGCGCATTTGAATATACATGTATCTATATGAAATTTGCACTTCATAAATGAATAAATTATTATTATCTTTAATATTACTACCGTACTACATGTACATGTATTTTGGCCGGAAAAAAAATGGTAAGATACGTGTACATATACTCGGTATGTGTATAATAACTTTGGCAACATTTTCTTAAAGGGGGACACCACTAGTGCAGATACTTGAGAGTACATGTACATGTAATTAATTTGTTGAGATTTACTTGATATTTCTTACCTATGGGTCAGTTTGTTTCACACCGATCCGGATAACAATCAGTGATCCATCGTCGGTTCACTGACATCAAAATCCACCTAATGGATTGAGCGGACCAATGATGGGATCACCGATCCAGATCCGAGTGAAGCACACTAGTCCAAGTTTGCATTATGTATCCTACACTTTTAGGCAGTGCTGGTACACAGGCTTCATAGGATACTGCAAAATTTACTCTGTACATGTGCATTTGTTACGTGGATGTCCCATTTGAATGTACATGTACATGTATCTACATGTATAGTATCTTTCTGTATTACTTCAGTCGGGTCACCCCCCTCACCTTCCAAATCATCTGCAAGTGATGGAGGAAGTCAGGACTCCAGTACACCAGATACAGTTCCATATGTTGTCAGGTACGTGTACATACATGGACAATGTATACAATGTACACTCTACATTAACCAGTAGATTGTTGTAATTACACGTATACATGTACCATGCTGTGGCTTGATTATTGTGTACAACACTGCATTAACCCTCCTATGCTGAAGTCACTCTTTGGGTCACTTGGTAAACACCTCAAAGAAGCACAGCTGTGTTGTGTTGTGCACTACACCAACTGTCCCTCACAGGAATATCAGATTGCACTTTAGTGCTGCCCAACAACTGTGCTTCACTGTTTCATGTGCATAATTGTNTGGGTCATTTTGTGCTGACAACCTACTGTGTACACACTGAACCTGTGTATGTTTGAGTTCCATATAGAAAACACATGCTCACCAGTGACTTTGGGCATTTGTGCTGTAAAACCAAAGGAGGGTTAACCATTATTCAGATGAGTTAGTTTTGATACCAGTATTCAGTTGACCTTGCTTTCAATGTATGACACCTTGTCAATGTCATTCTCATCTTGCAGTGCCAGTCCAAGGCATAAGATCAAACTTGGTAGGTCTAAACCTACCATCATGGGTTTTCCACCCAAGGAGATAGTGACATATGCAAAGGAGACTCAGACACCAACAGAGACCCAGGACAAGGAAGGTTTGTGTATGGTTTGTAAATGCATGTGCAGGTAGCACTTTTGTGTTTCTTCAAATACCTCAAACACCCAGAAACAGGATAATAAAATTTTACTATGCATAATTCGATAATGTGAAGTTTATGTAAACATTATTTTATGGTATTGTTTTGTGTATTAGTGTCACATTTAGCTCAAATAATGCACATAAGCTCAAAATGATCATTTCAGTTTTGTTAGATATTTTTATCTGGTGCCAGATAATTGACAGCAAAAATTTGAGCATTTTTCGGTTTAAATTAATTGGGTACAAGCTATTGATGATACTACATGTACATGTATACATGCACCTTGTCTGCTGCATATACATATACATGTAATTGCGCAATGGTCTGACAAACACATACTTTGTTTGTGTATGCAGCATTCCTTTCCAATTTTCAAGCATGCTGTGAGTCAGTATTATGGTTTTGACAAGTGAAGAGGTTTTTCTCTACCAGTGTATTAATTTTGTGTCTCTGTGACTTTTCTTCGGATCACACTCTTGCTACATGTATGATACCCACACTTGACTTGCCAGACCGATCTGATGCTGAAGGTATATATTGTGTAACTATTGCATGAAATGCTCTGCATGGTACAGTGTAGGATTTTTGTGTATGTGTGGGTGAAAGGAATTATTTTCTTTTATTCAAATTTATTGCCTTACATGTATTACTGCTGAAATATGGATATGAACAAAATAATTAGGCTATTTTGTTGTTTGCCCTTTTTGTGTAAATTTAACATTATTTGAAGGTGGAGACTACGAGGTAAACTTGAAAACCGAAAGAGAATACATGTACATACATGTACATGTACAGTACAAAGTATCAGATCTTGCTTGTTATGTTGATATACAAAGACTTTTTATTTTACCAGTCATGGCTGTACATGTAGTTTTTCAAAAAGCCAAGGTCTTTCTGGAACCAAGCACGTGCATTGAATCAGCATATGGCTGTGTTAATGGGACAGACTATAGTGCATGCATGTAGCCATTCCCAAATAGGCTGGTACTGGGCATGTGCTGTTCGAATACTGAACTTGTTCATTAGCTCAGTTTCATGACATGTTTAAGGCAGGTTATTCCTTCATTCCTTTTTTCTTTGTGGTACGTGTACACTTCATTATAATATACATAAGTACGTTGTCTGTTGCATGACTCAGTTTTCATTGTCTCAGTGAGCCACTTCAGTTTTTCAAATTGGCAAGACCTTTCGGGAGCAAGGCATACATGTGTGTCAGCAAATGGCTGCACTTATACTGTACATGTACCGTTGGACAGACTCTCAGGCACCCATGCTGCTATTCCGGGTTAGCCTTGGACATGTTTCAGTTCAGACGTGTGCTGTTGGAAGACCAAACTGGCTCATTGTTGTGCTGGCTATGTCCCATCATCAATATTGTACACGTCGTTCCGCTGTCGTATTGCGAGGTTAAAGTGCATGTGTACATCTGAGTACTTGGCGGTAAGCTTCAATATTTCCGCTTTTTGAATTGCCTGTTTCATATTCTTTGTTCACATCACCTACATGTACATGTACAACATGTAAGAACAAGTTTTTAAGTGTC